AATCTGATGAGTCAGTGTAAAACTAGAAACAATAGAGATATCATCTAGTCACCTCTTAATCTCCCATGCAGAGTTGTCATTTGTTCCTCTCTCAGACACCTCTGCAATGGACTCATGTCAAGATTTTTTACATAACGTATAAAACGTGATATTAACAGGACTTTTTCAAATTAAATTAATAGTTCTTGATTGGTTTAATAAATATCTATCTTAAACATCAGCCATAAGCATGGGAATTGAATTACAATGAATTAAAACAAACAGACTATTTCTTGTGTTTATCACTGTGATATACGCAAGCCAATGACAGAGGTGAATGTATGAGCCGATAGTAGAGAGTGGTCACCTCAATCTGGTGAGTCAGGGTAAAACTAGAGACAATAGAGATATCAACAACTCACCTCAATCTGGTGAGTCAGGGTAAAACTAGAGACAACAGAGATATCAACTAGTCACCTCAATCTGATGAGTCAGGGTAAATCTAGAGACAATAGAGATATCAACAAGTCACCTCAATCTGGTGAGTCGGGGTAAAACTAGAGACAATAGAGATATCAACTAGTCACCTCAATCTGATGAGTCAGGGTAAATCTAGAGACAATAGAGATATCACCTAGTCACCTCAATCTGGTGAGTCAGGGTAAAACTAGACACAATAGATATATCACCTAGTTTCCTCAATCTGGTGAGTCAGGGTAAAACTAGACACAACTGGGCTGCATTCAAAATCCTAGCGGCTAACCTAGCAGCTAGGTGTTAGATATCTATCTTTACTGAACAGACAGCTAACCTAGCAGCTAAGTGTTAAAGTTTGAATAAAAATATATAAATAATAATTTATTTTTGGGACACAAAAAGTTTATTTCAAGCGAAAATAAATATGTAAATTTACATTTGATTCACTAAGATAAATAAAATAAACCTCCTTTTTGTTAAAACCTTATGTACTGCAAACTTGTAACTAAGGAAACCATCTTGGATTTTGGACGTAGCATTAAATACTTATGCTAGCTCTCCATACATAGCGGCTAGGCTAGCTTTCCGTTCAAGAGCGTAGCTTTACGTAGCGGATACGTAGCAGCTACGCTGTTGAACGCACCCCAGAGATATCAACTAGTCACTTCAATCTGGTGAGTCAGGGTAAATCTAGAGACAATAGAGATATCAACTAGTCACCTCAATCTGGTGAGTCTGGGTAAATCTAGAGACAATAGAGATATCAACAAGTCACCTCAATCTGGTGAGTCAGGGTAAAACTAGAGACAATAGAGATATCAACTAGTCACCTCAATCTGATGAGTCAGGGTAAATCTAGACACAATAGAGATATCAACTAGTCACCTCAATCTGATGAGTCAGGGTAAAACTAGACACAATAGAGATATCACCTAGTCACCTCAATCTGGTGAGTCAGGGTAAAACTAGACACAACAGAGATATCAACTAGTCACTTCAATCTGGTGAGTCAGGGTAAATCTAGAGACAATAGAGATATCAACTAGTCACCTCAATCTGGTGAGTCTGGGTAAATCTAGAGACAATAGAGATATCAACTAGTCACCTCAATCTGGTGAGTCAGGGTAAATCTAGAGACAATAGAGATCTCAACAACTCACCTCAATCTGGTGAGTCAGGGTAAAACTAGAGACAATAGAGATATCAACTAGTCACCTCAATCTGGTGAGTCAGGGTAAAACTAGAGACAATAGAGATATCAACAAGTCATCTCAGTCTGGTGAGTTGGGGAAAATCTAGAGACAATAGAGATATCAACTAGTCATCACAATTTGGTGAGTCAGGGTAAAACTAGAGACAATAGAGATATCAACAAGTCATCTCAGTCTGGTGAGTTGGGGAAAATCTAGAGACAATAGAGATATCAACTAGTCATCACAATTTGGTGAGTCAGGGTAAAACTAGACACAATATAGATATCAGCAAGTGACCTCAATCTGGTGAGTCAGGGTAAAACTAGACGTCACAATAGAGATATCAACTAGTCACCTCAGTCTGGTGAGTCAGGGTTAAACTAGAGACAATAGAGATAAGTCACCTCAATCTGATGAGTCAGGGTAAAACTAGAGACGATATGGATATCAAGTAGTCACCTAAATCTGAAGAGTTAATGTAGAACTAGAGAAATAGAGATCTTTAACTATTACTTTATATATATTTCAGACATCCAGCATCAGTCATGTAGATAAAACTACTCAGTCACAGCTGCAAAATGGTAAGTGGACAATAGCTAAACATGACAGGTCTTGATATTGAACATCATGGGTAATGCAGAAGCTTGTTTTTGAAGTATAGGCTGTACTTATAACAGTTGGCTTTGTTTCAGTCAGGCCTTGTTTCAGTTCTTTTTTCTGAAATTCAGCGTACATATTTGTCTTGTTTCAGTGTCGCTGAATAAGTCAGAGTGTGCCACTGAGTGCATCTGTCTGACGGCAGTTAACCCCACTCCATCAGCCGTGTCCCTAGGAACATACTCTATTTCATGGAGACGGTAAATTAAAATTTATTTTTGATCTTCAAATCTGTTTTTTTATGAGGTTATTCATGTACAGATCATTAGGATATCATCTTTAAACTCAGTACATTTACAATCTGTAGTTTATTTGATTTTGAACAGTTTTTAAAATCTTTCTTTTTATGTCTAATATGAACTTTGTAAATTTTAATTATTTTGACATCCAGTTCTTCATCAAGTGTGTGCTTATTAATAAAAACATTTTACATTAACCTTTTAAAACAGGAAAACAGGTGAGGACACTCCGTATGTGGACACCATGTTCCCCCTGCCTACTGTCAATACAGAGTACATTCCCTTGTCTGTGGAGCTAAGACTCCCGGCCTATGGCATGGTTAAGTCCCTTCTACCATTAACATACATTCTCTACAATCGCACTCCATACCCCCAGGAAATAGAACTCACCATGGACACGAACGACTGCTTCATGTTCTCAGGAAACAAAGAGGTAAAAGTCAGGCAGATTGATTCTTTAGAGCAACTCTCCACTGCCTTTCAAACATATCTCTTTGAATTATTTTTTTCAAATGACAACTATACCATCCTTTTTTCTTTGCTTTGACAGGAAATGTTTCTAGTAGACCCTTATGATTCTTGGCAAGCCAAGGTTTCTGAAATAATTTATCATTTTAAATAAATTATTCTGCCTGTAGATTTAATTGTGAATAACTTTTGTTGTAGTTTCACTTCCGAGTCTTGCCAGGGGTGCCGTACGAATTAAAGTACAACTTGTTTCCCTTGGTGGCAGGTCACGTTAATCTACCCAAAATAAACTTCACTCTTCTGCGATACCCTGACCCAATAGACCCCACACTGCAAAAGATGTTACCCACCCATATATTTATTAAGGTAAATTGTATGGATTATACCTAATTAAAATCTATGGCTATAAAGTAGAGCAAAGTCATTTATTTAAAGATATTCGTTACAATTAAAAAGTTTGTAAATGAGTTTTAGAACTGCAGTGTGCATATATGACAATCTCTTTGATACATATATATATAAGTGTAATTTTATATTGTATAATATGTGTGCATCAAAGTCATAGTAAATGAGATCTTGATATAAATGAAGTTTCTTTTTCCTTTTGATAGCCCTGTGGTAAGGTACTCTCCCAAGGAACATGACAACAAAGTGTTAAATGCATCGTTACATCTGATTGGCTATTAATTTCCTGATGTTGAAAGCATCGTTACATCTGATTGGATATTGATTTTCTTATGACGACCCTATCTTGAGAGAAGAATTACATCTGAATGGCTCTTGATTTGTTGATGAGGACAGAAGCTGTGATTGGTTAATGCTTTTTAGTGCTTGTTGATATTGTGATTATTCCTGAAGACTTGACTGAATATCTGTTGTACAACTCTGTCTAATGTATTTATGTGTACATAAAAATACAAACACAAGTCTTGTTTATTTCTCACTTTTTATTACATGGATTTATTACAAAGTTTATGCTTATTTCAAAAAAACTTGCCACAAAGAAACCTTTGGAAAAGGATATTTAAATTAGTCCACTTCGGAATGCATTCTCAAAGGGAAATAATTGGTGAAAATCAGTAGTAACGTCTTTTGAAAATCTAAATAATCACTAGCTCAAAAGATCAAACTGAATGTTTGAAAGCTTCATAACATACAAGTTCAGATTCATTTGTTTTAATTATAAGCCAATATATTGTATATTAATATGGATGCATTTTCATTTTGTGCAGATTCAAGTTAATTTGTTCATTAAATCATGCCCTTTCTAGGGTCAAGGGTGTAACCATGCACTTGTTTATTAAAATTCTAGTACTGCTTTTCTCTAATCAAAGTGCTTAGATTGATAGTGTGGTTAATAATTGACATTTTTATGAAAATAGAAAAAAAAAAAAATTTGATTAGCACTTTAAAGATGCTGATGAAGATTTAAAAAAAGAATTTGCTGCTACAGAAAAAAAGTGGCTTTTCTGCTTTTAAACAGTTGTAAAACATTTTGTATTTTACTTGTGCCTAATTACTGAAATATTATTAATGTAAAGAAGTTAAAAAAAAAAACAACATGATATTTTAAAATACTATCACTTGCCCAATTTTTCATTGGCATTATAGCCATGGCTATAGGAAAGATTGCCAAACTTGGAGTGCACACAATTCTTCATTTGTTTCTTAATTTTAGAAGAGGGGGTACGTGCTAGCACAAGACAGAGACAGTTTTTGGCATTCAAGGACAGCATGTTTAAATATTTTCAATTTTTTTTAAAAATTCAAAAGGAGCTTGAAGCCCACCCCTACCCCCCTGACCTTTTATCCTAGTTTCAAAATTAAGTAAAATAATCATTCAAGATTTTAAAAATTCTGTCCCATTCTATATATTAAATTATTTGTGAAAATAATAAATATTTTCTCAATCGTGATACATATCGCGTTCCGGAATCCTGTGTGTCGATCGGATAGGCTTTTTAATTTAGTTACAATATGCGCATGCGTGAATTGTTTTATTTCCTGTTGACATTCGCTACAAGTAATTTTGAAAACAAGAAAGAACATGTGAACTTTGATGTTGAAGAATCATAATTATTTCACAGATACCGGTTTTTATGGTGAGAAATGTTCAAGTTATCAATTTCAACAAATATGGATTGATTTCTCTGAGTTATGACTTTTACAGTTAGGCCTAATGAATTTACGGGTCTGTGCTTGTTGTTTTGTGTTTCAAATTCAAGTCCCCTCTTCTTTAGCAAGATAAATTTCCAAAGAAATATGCAGAATTTGAGCAACCAAATTTGATTTCATGTTATGAATTTATGACATGTAATGCTAACATGTAAAGCTATGAATTTATGACATGGAAAACGTGATATATTGCAATATTTTCAAAATCAGATCGAATTTGAAATAGGTGAAAGTTTATCACATAAATTAAAAACTAATCTGTATATTAATTGCCTGATATGTGGCTCTCCTTATAATTGATACGTGTTTAAGTAAAATTTCTAGATATGCTAAAGAACCCAATGCTTATAGTGATGTAGACAATTTTGCCAATAATTTTGGATTAAATCAAGAGACAAATCCATTTTCATGATTTTGGAAGAAGCGTGTCATAAAATTTATGTTTGAAATTTCTTGACAAGCATTTTATCCTTTGGGATTTTTTTTTTCATTCAGGTACAACAGACATTTATTACACAAATACAGACTTAAAATGGCTTTGCCATCCATGCCACACTATTGGACAACCAGGAGAAATGTTTATGAGCAGGCAATAGTCAGAAACAGAAACCATGATGACCACTTACGAGAAAGATGGAGTAACACAGCAAATTACTTTCAAAAATCAAACATAGCGGCCACAAAACAGAGCGCATGGGAGTCAGAGAAATCTCTCAAGTCCAGGTAAAGGTCTTTGATAGGCCATCTTATCTCAGTCTAGTCAGTCTATGGAAGCATGTGTTGGTTGTTGTATATTACAATCAGTTATATATTTTGGGTTTTTATTTCAGCATGGATGCTTATCAGAAAGAAAAAGATTCAGATAAAAAGGCCAAGAAATTAGCCCTACGCAGAGAGAAGCTAGCTGCCATGCTAAGACAGGAGAGATACAAGTATGAGGTAAGTATTTGTAATTTTCAGAACCTGAACCAGCCACCAGCATGACTGATTCTTAATCAGCAAAAATAAACATAACATTAAACTTTTCTTTGATTGATCAGTAATGGATACTTGTAGATTTTATTGTTCACAAGTTTATTTTTAAACATCTTCAAGTGTTAGAAGTCAAAGCATTTTTCTCCGGTCTAGGTTTCTCTCCTATTTCTGTGTGAACAATTTTGTATTTTTTTTTCTAGGCGGAATTAAAGGGATATTCCCAGGACAATTATGATCGCCTGGAGGACATGAAAGACCGAGTTGACTCCCTAAAGAGTGCTAGAGAGGAAAAAAGGAAAAATGTAAGACGTCTATTTATAAATAAAGATGAACAATTGAAAATGTTAACTAGTTTTTAATCCTTGAGGATGTACTGCCTCAAGTACAATTATTCAAATTACCTTGTATCGTATGTAAAATGCTGTATTATTACTGTAAACAGGTTAATACATGTATATGTTAGCTGCAGAACTGTAGTTCTCTGAAAAAATATATATTGATAGACCGGAGAGCTACAGTGCCACCCATTGAAAAAAACTGTATATTTATATATTTATAATCACCACACATTTGATTTATGTTGCAACTCCCTATGATTAAGGAAATACACAAATATCTATACTTTTGTATTGAAAAAAATGAATGTTACTAATAAATTCAACTAATTTTTGTATTTAACAGTTGGCTCAGGAGAAACTATATCAACATTGGAAGCAAAACAATCCAGATATCAGAAAGGTTGGTTTATGTACCGTACACCTCTTTTAAGTTTAAGCTTTCACTGTTATTTGGATGAAAGATACAAAACATTCTATGTGTTTTTTACATAGTCATGCCGTGACTGTATATTATTACATTAAAACAGAAATTTTATATGACGTTTTATATTTTACAGCTCGAGTCAGAACAGTTGAAGGACCACGTCGTAGACAGATGGGGGTCCCAAGTGGAGGAAGTCAGGGAGGTAAGAACTAACAATGGGGGGAGGGGGGTCTTAAGGAGTAGTCAAATAGTAATCAAATAGCCATAAGGGAAGAGTGGTCTGAAGTGAAAGTAAGAGAATACAAGTACTGGTACATGTATTCCTTGAAGAAAGGCACAGGGATTACTTATTAAAAAGACATATTAAAGTGGCTCTTTGTCATTGTTTTAAGTAAAAGAGGTCTTGTCACTCAAATATCATGTACAGGGCTTAGAGGTAATGAATTTGTCCTTCCAAGAAACAATCTAATTAATAATGCACTTTTGGTTTTAGCTCATGCTGATGACAGGAAATTTTCACTAATAAAATGTTTATCATTTTCTAAAATATTTGCACAAGTTTCGAATATTTTTCTCTTATTATGCAGAAAGAAGAACAGGAAAGAATTGAGAAAGAAAAGTTTGAAAGAGAGATGGAGAAAGAGAGGATAGCAGCTCTGGAGTTGGAGAGAGAGAAGGAAGAAGAAAGATTGGAGGAGGAGAGGAAGTGGAAGGACGTACTGAGGGAACAGATGCTGGAGCTCCGTGAGCGGGAAGACGAGGTCAGAATCTAAATCATAAAAATAACAGACTCTGTTCATGTAGAAAAACCTTCCCAAAGCGTTTTTAAAAAAGTGGGAAACAAAGTTCAAATTTTGAAATAGTTTCAATTCATAGATATGCTCATTGTTTGGTTAACCTTGTCAGTCGTCCCTTTTAACAGATTGTGTCCTGTTCTACATTAGCAGCTTATAACTGCTTGTATTGCTGTTGCCAGTATGTATAATACTGTTGAGTTACTTTAGCCATACTTTTTCTTTTTAATTATAAAGGCCAGTAGACTGAAGAAAGAACAAGATTCTCTACAGAAAGAACAATGGAGGCTGGAAGAGCTAGAGGAGGAACGTAAAAAGATGGAGGCCGGCCGTCGGCACAGGGAAATGGGGTAAGGTCGTAATTAGGATGTCACAGGGAAATGGGGTAAGGTCTTAATTAGAATGTCACTGGGAAATGGGGTAAGGTCTTAATTAGAATGTCACTGGGAAATGAGGTAAGGTCTTAATTAGAATGTCACTGGGAAATGGGGTAAGGTCTTAATTAGAATGTCACAGGGAAATGGGGTAAGGTCTTAATTAGAATGTCACAGAGAAATAGGGTAAGGTCTTAATTAGAATGTCACAGAGAAATTGGGTAAGGTCTTAATAAGAATGTCACAGGGAAATGGGGTAAGGTCTTAATTAGAATGTTACAGAGAAATGGGGTAAGGTCGTAATTAGAATGTCACAGAGAAATGGGGTAAGGTCTTAATTAGAATGTTACAGAGAAATGGGGTAAGGTCTTAATAAGGATGTCAAAGAGAAATGGGGTAAGGTCTTAATTAGAATGTCACAGAGAAATGGGGTAAGGTCTTAATTAGAATGTCACAGGGAAATGGGGTAAGGTCTTAATTAGAATGTCACAGGGAAATGGGGTAAGGTCTTAATTAGAATGTCACAGAGAAATAGGGTAAGGTCTTAATTAGAATGTCACAGAGAAATTGGGTAAGGTCTTAATTAGAATGTCACAGGGAAATGGGGTAAGGTCTTAATTAGAATGTCACAGGGAAATGGGGTAAGGTCTTAATTAGAATGTCACAGAGAAATAGGGTAAGGTCTTAATTAGAATGTCACAGAGAAATGGGGTAAGGTCTTAATAAGGATGTCACAGGGAAATGGGGTAAGGTCTTAAAAAGGATGTCACAGGGAAATGGGGTAAGGTCTTAATTAGAATGTTACAGAGAAATGGGGTAAGGTCTTAATTAGAATGTTACAGAGAAATGGGGTAAGGTCTTAATTAGAATGTCACAGGGAAATGGGGTAAGGTCTTAATAAGGATGTCACAGGGAAATGGGGTAAGGTCTTAATTAGAATGTCACAGAGAAATGGGGTAAGGTCTTAATAAGGATGTCACAGGGAAATGGGGTAAGGTCTTAATTAGAATGTTACAGAGAAATGATGTAAGGTCTTAATAAGGATGTCACTGGGAAATGGGGTAAGGTCTTAATTAGAATGTCACAGAGAAATGGGGTAAGGTCTTAATGAGGATGTCACTGGGAAATGGGGTAAGGTCTTAATTAGAATTTCACAGAGAAATGGGGTACGGTCTTAATTAGAATGTCACTGGGAAATGGGGTAAGGTCTTAATTAGAATGTCACTGGGAAATAGGGTAAGGTTGTAATTAGGATGTTTTCATGAAATAAAATGGTGATTTTAATATCAATATTAAAATAATTTACATCAGTAAGTTGTACATATTTTTATATTAACTATTGACTATCTCTTACAGCCGGATGTTACTGAGACAACATAAAGCACAGATGATGAGACGATCCAGGCAAATTCAGGAGGAGCTGGTAATAAAAATATGTTTATTAGTTCTAAGCTGCCATACAAAAAATAATATTTTTGTTTGTCATAATGTAATTTTTACCACTAAACAAGCAAAGTAGGCATTAATTGTCCTACAGTTGAATTCTTATTTATAACATGTCATTATCTTCATGAACAGAAGAAAACAAAGATTTTTTTTTTAACCCTTGGCAATTTTATGTTATTTTAGGAACAAGACAAACAGATGTTAGAGGCTCTTATTGAGAGAGAGAAAGAGGAACGAGAAATCCTCACCACGCGGAGAGAAAAGGCCCAGGCTGACGCTGCGTGGATGAAGCAGGTGATTAATACTGAATTATATGTAATAAATAAACTGTCTTATAGTTAGCTATAATTTCCATTCCTTGTGTTGCAATGTATTATTATAATATTTCTTTTAACCTAGGTAATTGAAGACCAGTTACGAGTAGAGAAGGCCAGGGAAGCTGAACTGGACATGTTATACCAGTAAGATTTCTTCAGTTATTTATATGTGGTATAAGACATCCTTGTAGCTTTACAACTCCTTTCAAACACTCTTTACTAAAGAGTCCTTCTGACAGAGAAAACAGATCATTGAATTAATTTTCTGATTTCAGGGAAGAGGCAGCTAGAATGTGGGAGAAGCGTGATGCAGAATGGGCGCGTGAGAGTAAAGCCAGGGAGAGACTGATGAGGGAGGTAGGTACTGCTGGCCAAACGATACACGACAATCTTCTGTGTCTGGTTCTTATTCCAAGTTTGTGTATGGTGTTTAGCCACAGAGAAATGTAGCCCAAATATATTATTTTATATTTTATCTGTAGGTGTTTAAAGACAGACAGCAACAGATAGAAGAGAAGTTAGAAGAAGTGCAGCGTGAACGGGAGGAATCGCTATACCAGCGGGAGAAACTGATAGAGGAGATGGAGATAGCCAATCAGATGACACAGCGGGATCTGGAGAAAGCCGAGGAGCAGAAAGAGGCCCTCAAACTGGATCTCAAGGGACAGGTCTGTGGCCCCGTTCTCATAAGAGGGGAATGTTAAATCAAAATGTGGCTTGATTTTATATAAACTGCTTAAAACACATTAGCTAGTACATTACTGTCTGTCAATGATTATGTCCAGGTTAGTGGTTCAGTTCTCTAAAGAGGGGAATGTTTGATAGAAAGTGGCATGTCAGACCTGTTCAAAATCGGAAAGTGACATGATTTTATACTTTTCCGCTTAAAACACATTAGCTAGTAAATTAATGTCTGTCAATGATTATCTCCCTTGACGACAGATCACGGCCCGACACGAGCAGAAGGAAACGTCACGTCAGAAGTTACAGGAGGAAGAGGAAAGGGATCGGCGGGAGGAACAGGAATACGAGGATTTCCTCCGACAGGAGACTGAGAGGATGAAAGTCCGAGGCTTCGCGCCCAAGGTATGTCACATGAGAGTTAAGTAGAAACCATTGTAATATGTAACATAACGTAAGATTCAGATATGCCTTGTCAGGAACTGGTGTATAAGGAAGAAACCTATATATGAAACATGACCCAAGGTTTTTTACATCAGGGACTGCTCTATTTAGTAGAAGCAATTGTGTTCAATCAATATAAGTAAGCCTTAGTCTTCATTACTTTCATGCAGTGATGTAATACTTGGGCACGTGATAAGACTTAATCTTTTTCAGTCTTAAAAGTAGAACTGTCAAGCAAATAAGTCTTAATTTAAAAATTAAAAGTAAAATCACATATTTTCATGGGGTCAAAATTTCGAGGTTTGAGGAAAAAATATTGGTTTGTGGGGATTTGATTTTGTGGTTGGAGAATGATAAGTACATGTAGTAATGCATATGAAATTTTACATTTTGTAGTGGTAATAAATGTATGGGTCTCTCCGTACCTTGAAAACAACGAAAATTAACCGCCCACGAAAATTAGTGATTTCACAGTATTGATTATTTTAATGAATGGTCTGCAGTTCTCTTTAACTGTAATAATGTTAAAATTCTCAGGGAGAATCCAGAGATTTCTTACTTTATTTTTGTTCTCTTTCAGAATTTTGGACGGCGGACTGCTTGGATGTAATCAGATCTGACTGAGGAGAAATAGTTGTTCTGACTGATTTAGAAATCTCCTCATGCTTTTATCTCATTCACACTGCCAGAGTAAAACCACAAAGTGCAGACATTTTGATCTATTGTTACAGATTCATTCAGCCTAGCAACAGCTGAGATTTTATACCTTGTTTATGTATTTTTTTTTTATTGATATCAGCGCCTGTAGTACAGACAACCATTGTGTATTCTCACGGAGAATACATGTGTATATGTAAATAACTGACTTATTTATGTGCTGACAAATAAATGAAATGTAAATATACTGTATTTTTCTTTTAATTCTAGTAAACTTTCAACTGAAATTAAAATGGAAACCAGCCTAGTTCAAGGTCATGACACATCATCGGGTTTAATGTAATCTTTCCTTGAAGTACCGATGTTTCTCCATTAGGAATTAAGTTATTGATAGGACTCAAATTATATTTTTTTGTCTGCCGGACAGTGCCGGTGATGTTTGGACATCATTGCATAGAAAAGACAGTCAGACAGACAAGCTAACATTTTTTGTTTGGGGAGGTGTGTAGTAATATAATTATGCAGCCACAAATGATCTTTTGCATTCGAATGCTGGCCAATCATTTGTCAGTGCCTAACAGATGATACTTGCATGGCTAGTTGATTTGAATTATAAGCACAAATACCACGTCATCTTTTCAAACTTTTCCACAAATTTATAAGGTTGTTTTGGCAGTGTTTTCCTTGATATACCCTAAAATCTTGAAAATAAGCCGCGGCTTATTTTAAGTTTTGGTAAGAAAGTGGGGGCTTATTTTCAAAACCGGCTTATTTTCAAATTGCGGCTTATTATCAATGCAAAATACTGGTAAGAGAAGAGAGCACTTGTATTCATTGGCGTTTCCCGGTGTACGTTCTTTAGGATCGTCTACTTTATTTTCTGAGAATGCCGATCCCGAAAAGTTTATTTCATTGTATACAGCATATGAATTTACATGCAACATAAACTTGTTTTTAAAAAAGTAAAAATAATATATAAGATATCCGCTTCAATTGAATTACTTGATAAATTAATCAAACAAACACATATTTATACAACTCAGTTGCGGTACATTGAAATGTAATTACTACCAAGCCCTTCCGATCAGCAGGTTTCGATCTTGCCTTGGGCAGTATTACCTGGCAGTTAAATGCTTTACAAACAAAACCTCCTTTATCTATTTACTTATTTAATTATTACCACCTTTTAACACATCGTTAGTTTGTACAAGTCTAGATGAGATAATTATTGTTCTGACAGTTTCATGAAAAAAATTCACCATTTTAGCTGGTTTCGCAATAAGTTCTTTTTAGCAAGTGTAATATGATTAATGGTTAAAAAATTAACTTTATTAACAACAATTAATTTAGTAATATTACAAATTTTTAAGACGCGGAAATCGTCAAACGTTTAACATCTGTCCTAAATGGAAATGTCATGACCGGCTTATTTTCAAAACTGGCTTATTTTCGAGTAAATTTTAATGCAAGAAATAGGTGGCTTATTTTCAAAACCGGCTTATTATTAAATCCGTCTTATTTTCAAGATTTTAGGGTATTGAATCACAGTTCGTTTACCTATCAATTTTATTGAAATTTTCAGTAAATAAAAAAAATGTTATTATTACATGTATTGGTATTATGCATTATTTAATTTACTGAAAATATCGGTAAAATTGATAGGTATGAGAACTCCTGTGATTGAATGGAGCACTCATTTTATTACAGTTAGACTTGAGATTCAGTGGGCACAGGTAAGAAACCTGGTCTGGTCCGCTGCAATTTCTCCTCTCCCTTTACAGATCAATTATTATGCTTTGTGATTATGGGAGGGAGTTTTACTTACCTGCTGTTTCTTGTCTAATTTTGTTTGTATGTTGCTTAACATCCCTCTCGAGAATTTTTCACTCGTGTGAGACGCCACCACTTGCCGATGGAGAGCTGCAAATTTTGACCTATACTCGGCACTTATGGCCATTAATCAGGGAGGGATAGTTTTTATGTCAGCACCTACTGCGACACGAGACCTCTGTTTTACACAGACCGAAGGACCGGTCTCCAAGTCCCAAAGTGGTATTCAAACCCTCAACATAAGGATCAAATCCTTACTTCATAACACTAGAGCAGACGCTCTTATTTTGAGATAAAAACAAATAAAACAATAATTATAAAAATAATCATTTGTGGAATTTTATTCCACTGTAAAAGAGATTCAATCACAGTTGTAAGACTAGTCCGCTTAACTTAAAATTGTTCATTTTTTGCTTTAATACAAAAAAGATGAATCACAGAGTAGAAAAGTTGGAAGGATGTTCACTCCTATAGATCTATGACGAGATTCATATTTTGTTGTTGTATGTGTGCTGATGATTAAATCACATTGAAATGTTGGTTATAAGGCCATTTTTTGTGGTTTGTTTATCAGTAGGAATCTTTAGACATCCTTCATGCCGGTGGTCATCATTTGATATGTTGGTAATTTTAACATAATTTTGTCAACACAGATGAACACCTGGTCCTTTTCCTTTAGCACCTGCAAATTCAATAAAAAAATACATTGGGCTATTGTAAATGTTTGTTACTTGTATCTATAATGTAACTGTACCCAACTGTGTATCACTCAATTTTACTTTTGATTTCATGTGAGTGGCTTTTGCATTGACTGCCCCCACATTTATGTCTACCCAGCATGATGTGAGAAAGGAGGCATGTACGTGGCTGTTCCACTGACCCACCCCCTAACATTTTTACCTACCCAGCATGCTACTGAGGAAGGAGGTGTAAGTGGCTGCTCCAGTGACACACTCTCTACATTTTTACCATTCCAGCATGCTACTGAGGAAGGAGACACATAAGTGGCTGTACCACTGAGCCACTGACCCCCCATTTTTACTTACCCAGCATGCTACTGAGGAAGGAGGCGTAAGTGGCTGTTCCAGTGACTGCCCCCACTGCTGCGGGGTTACTCCGGACTGTCTTGACATTGAAACCATTAGGACCCCAGACCTCCACTTCTACAATGTGCCAGTCTGTTAACCTACATGTTTAAAATTAGTTTGGTTAGAATATTTAAATATATGCACATAAGCACTCCTTGTTAAATTCTAGATAAAATTACAAGTTGATTTTGATCATGAAATTGTAGAGGCTGTTACCACAAGACAGCTAGTGTAAGAACTTTTATGAGCTGAAGATCTCTGACAAGCTAAGAATGTTATCATACTTTGTGAATCTGATACATACATGTACATGTATGTGTTATTTAGCCTGTAGCTTGAGAATTAAGAATGATATGACATACTGAGGATCTGATACAATGGATCCCGTGACTTTGTCAAATCCCAGGTTGTGTGCTGCTATAGCTGCTGCTGCCATTGTGTTGACATTATTTGGAGCCAGGGGACACAACTCACGGACAGGTCCTGTATTGCATTTAAAAGGAAGGAGTTGTAGATGTCATCAGTATTATTTTTAAAAAAAAACAACTTTCTTAGTAGATATGAAATAAAAAATTTTATACCTGAAAAATTATATTAAGATGAAAAAAAAATATTTCCAGGAAATGTGAGTAATTGTGTTTTATGAAAAGACACTGCACCATTCAGTACCCCAAAACTGATGACAAACTAGTGATAGACAAACTGGTATGCTTTCTGTTGTGAGGAGGGTTTCAAAATATAAGTGACAAAATTTTACCATCATACAGCACTGCCTTCGTGTCCTTGACCTGCTCATTTCTGACCTTCAGGTCACCATCCAGTTTAAAGCTGCTGGGGTGTTTGGTCATTGTAACTTTTAAGTGCTGAAAAAGGCAATTCTTAACATGATTACATAACACAGTCTTTTTTTTTTAATTATTCCAGTAATTTGTTAAACAAATACAATACTGATACAGATATTTGCCCATGGTAAATCTGGGTAAATCCAAACATTTATTGTATTGATTCTATATTGGATACCGAATCAATAACAATCACAGATTGTGAGGACTTCTTGTCATTTGAAGGCTCAGCTAAACAAGTCAAGGAACCACCATGTTCTCTTGTTAAACATACAGTTCAGGGGAAAATTTATAATACAGAACTTACATGTAACATAGGAAGTCAGTATAATTTCATATAGGTGAGTATGTTATCAATATTGCATTTTAGTCTTGAACTCTACAACTAATATTTTCCATCAGAATTTACACAAATTTTGCTGTAAGTCCACTAAGGTAACTCTTTCTTATCTTTATGATTTATGACTCTTACCTGTAACGTCCCTCTGTCGGCCATTTTTCTGATATCCTCTGCCCCCCAGAAGGCCCCACTTGGCACATAGAGGCCATGATTAATGGCCGCTCCCCGTAAACTGGTCTCCAGCTCCTGGGAACTCAGGGCTGTAGGGCTACCAATCTGTCAGGGCAAAATATCAGGTCAGATTTACATCAATATAAAAACAAATATATAATATTGATGTAAAAAGTGAAAGAAGCTCAAATATTTGGATATTTTTGTAACAATTTAAATCAGCATATCTCTACTGTTTCCATATGCTTTATTGAAAACTTTTTAATGCATGTGGGTTTTCTCACTTCTTCATTGAGAAAGAAGTTAAATTTAATATTTAATAGTCAGAAAACTGACAGAATTTTTTATGCTGAAACTGAAAAGACAACAAGTAATATCCAAGTTATTTGGTCATTATCTTAATAGTTGAGTAGAAACAGGTGAGAGACAGACCATGAAATCGGCCTCCTCCAGAAACCTTGGTCCCCACTCCTTAGTGATGTCAGGGTGAGCTACCTCTACAATTAGGTCAGCATTCCTGGAAGAGATACATCAGTGTAATGTAAAATAGTCCTACATGGATGCAATATTGGGAGGTCTGCTATTCATTACACTGACAGATTTGGGAGTCACTACTTGTACCTTTTGCTGAAGTCCTTGAGTTCCTGTAGGAGGAGATCCTTACCTTTTGTTGAAGTCCTTGAGTTCCTGTAGGATTATATTCTTACCTTTTGTTGAAGTCCTTGAGTTCCTGTAGGATTATATTCTTACCTTTTGTTGAAGTCCTTGAGTTCCTGTAGGATTATATTCTTACCTTTTGCTGAAGTCCTTGAGTTCCTGTAGGATTATATTCTTACCTTTTTCTGAAGTCCTTGAGATCCTGTAAGATGAGATCTTTACCTTTTGCTGAAGTCCTTGAGATCCTGTAGGAGGAGATCCTTACCTTTTGCTGAAGTCCTTGAGATCCTGTAGGAGGAGATCCTTACCTTTTGATGAAGTCCTTGGGATCCTGTAGGATGAGATCCTTACCTTTTGTTGAAGTCCTTGAGTTCCTGTAGGATTATATTCTTACCTTTTGCTGAAGTCCTTGAGTTCCTGTAGGATTATATTCTTACCTTTTGTTGAAGTCCTTGAGTTCCTGTAGGATTATATTCTTACCTTTTTCTGAAGTCCTTGAGATCCTGTAAGATGAGATCTTTACCTTTTGCTGAAGTCCTTGAGATCCTGTAGGAAGAGATCCTTACCTTTTGTTGAAGTCCTTGTGATCCTGTAGGATGAGATCCTTACCTTTTGTTGAAGTCCTTGAGATCCTTACCTTTTGATGAAGTCTTTGAGATCCTTACCTTTTGTTGAAGTCCTTGAGGTCCTGTAGGAGGAGATCCTTATCTTTTGCTGAAGTCCTTGAGATCCTTACCTTTTGCTGAAGTCCTTGAAATCCTTACCTTTTGATGAAGTTCTTGAGATCTTTACCTTTTGCTGAAGTCCTTGAGATCCTGTGGGAGGAGATTCTTACCTTTTGTTGAAGTCCTTGAGATCCTTATCTTTTGTTGAAGTCTTTGAGGCCCTGTAGGAGGAGATCCTTACCTTTTGCTGAAGTCCTTGAGATCCTGTAGGAGGAGATCTTTACCTTTTGCTGAAGTCCTTGAGATCCTGTAGGAGGAGATCCTTACCTTTTGCTGAAGTCCTTGAGATCCTGTAGGATGAGATCCTGCTGAAATTCTTCCAGAGCCGCAGGGGATCTGTTCCACACAAAGGCAAGGTCAAGGTCAGGGTGTTCCTGAATCTTCTCCACAAGGTATTTACCTGTAAACAGACAGGTAACAGATAAAATACCACTTGGACAGGTAACTTAACCACTAGCAAATGAACAGGCAACAACAAGAGGCCAATGGGCCACATAGCTCAACTGTGTATCTTTGGCCATACTGTTCTTTACCAGATTTCCCCCCTTCACTGGCTTGTAATACCAATTGTGACCCCAGCCTACCCCCAGGGGTCATGAATTTAATGATGCATTCACATAATTTTAGCTTGTCTGACTCAGTAGTTCTTGAGAAGAAGATTTTCAAAGATTTTCCCTATATTTTTCAATGTAAAACATGGATTCTTATTGTGGTCTCGCCCTACCCAGGGGGGTCATGATTTGAACAATTTAAACACTATACCCCAAGGATGCTTTCACATAAGTTTTAGCTTGTCAGACCCAGTGGTTCTTGAGTAGAAGATTTTAAAAGATTTTCCCTATATTTTTCAATGTAAAACTTGGATACCCGGGGGTCTTGATTTTAACAATTTAGAATATACACTAACTCCTGGATTCTTCATCTAAAGTTTTAGCTCTTCTGGTCCTGTGGTTCTTGTCTAAGAAGAAGATTTTCAAAGATTTCCTGATAAATGTAAACCTTGGCCCCGCCCTACCCCTGGGAATCATGATTTTAACCATTTAGAATTTTCCTTACCCAAGGATGCTTCCACATGAGTTTCAGCTTTTCTGGTCCAATGGTTCTTGAGAAGATTTTTTAACGACCCCACCCTACATTTTTTTTTTTACTTTTCTTAATTATCTCCCCTTGCAAAGGGACTTGGCATTTCATTTTAACAATTCTAACTCCCCTTCACACAAGGATGCTTTGTAGCAAGTTTGGTAAAATTGGCCCAGTGGTTCTTGAGACAGAAGTTGAAAATGCGAATAGTTTACAGCAGGCTTGGGGCGAATTACATTGAAAGTAATGCATTACCATTACCATTACTTCAACAATTTGGGCATTAAATTACCATTACCATTACTCTATTTTCTTAAAGTAATGCATTACATTACCATTACTTAAGTAAAGTAATGCATTACCATTACCATTACTTTTGGAGGTTTTTAAAAATAGATTTTTTTTACAAAACTTTGCGATGTGTTTTTCAAATGCATGTATCCACCCCTTTCAAAACTAAACATGACAATTCAAATTTGATTTCAAGTTTTTGTATATATTACAATGTCATTAACTTACAATCAAAGAAAGTTCAAAGTTCTGAATTGTCAGTTTTGTGAAACATGTACAATATCCACTTTTTATGTAACTACTGAAGTCATGAAGTAATTGAACTTTTGGGGCACTTTAACCCCTGCCTAAAATATCTAATAATAAAGCATATAGGCTTTTTTGATTAGTACCATATGAAAAAAATAAATGCATGGACAAACTTTTTGAAAAAGTAGACAGAGTGTACATTTTGATCTGCTAAGCACAGTAAGGCATAGAATGCCTGCATGGCTTCTATTTTCTTTGGTACAGTTTAATTTTTCATGGTCAGTACAAGGTAAATCAGCTCAATTTATGTTTTATAAACACAGTCAGGAGAAAAGGACTGGTAATTTGGAGCACTTCTCCAAACATTACATTGGTTTAATTGTTACATAACCCAGAGGCCTAGTGTGTTTTGGTGACACTCTAGCTATTCAAAAGGTAGCAATTATCAGTTTACAGTGTACATTAATTAGTGTATCTCATATGCGATTTAAAAAAAATCATTTAAAACTATTTTATATAATTCTTTGAAATCAATTGTTATCTGAAATAAGTTTGTAAACTTAAATGTAAGGTAGGTGTACTTTCAACAGCTAGAATAAAAAGTGTATTTACATGTAAATAGATACATAAATGTTATCTAAATAGGTTAACATTTTTATTCAATAGTATCATTTGCAAAAAAAAAAAAAAAAAAAAATAGAAATAAATAAATAAATAAAATAAATAACCTGAACAACAATTTCCATCATCCATGTCCATTTAAATTTCTTAAAATAGGTACTTATCGTACTGACCGTAAATACATCAAAAACAAAGATAATGGTATTTCGAAACAGTGGAACAGTAAATTCGTCGTGGACTTACAATGGTGAAATCCTCGAGTGCGTTGATTCTTTCAATTATCTAGGCCTTACATTGTTTTATAATGGTAAATTTACTTTCACCCAGAAAAAGCTGGCAGACCAGGGACGAAAGGCACTTTTTGGACTAAATCGAAATATTCAAATGTTTGAATTTAATGCAGAAACTCATTGTCAATTGTTTGATACATATATATTAAGTGTTTTGAATTATGGTTGCGAAATTTGGGGTTTCCACAAATCACCTGAAATAGAGCACATACATCTTATGTTCTGTAAAAATTTGCTAGGAGTTAAAAGATCTACATGTAGTTACATGGTTTATCGTGAATTGGGTAGATATCCACTAATCATATCCAGAAAAATCAGAATAATGAAATACTGGTGTAAATTGCTTCATACAAATAATTGTATATTGAAATCTTCCTATGATTATCTATTGCACAATGCAGAAAATAAATTACATTCTAAAATTAATTGGGCAAGGGATGTTAAAGATGAATTGTTTAGAATGGGACTTGGAAATTTTTGGTTTAAGCAAGATTCTATTAATACAACACAGTTTATATCTTTGTACAAGGAAAGACTGTTGGATAATTACCTTCAAGATTGTAATGCTTTTTTCGAAAATTCAACAAAATGTTTTTTGTACAAACACATTGTGTGTGACAATTTTTCAAAAATACATGTATATTTGACAAAACCTATTTATTCTATATTGAAGAAAAATATTACAAGAATAAGGCTTTCTTCCCATAACTTAAGTATAGAAGCAGGAAGATACCAGAAAATTGATAGAAACAATAGATTGTGTCAATTTTGTAGTAATCACTGTATAGAAGATGAATATCATTTTTTGCTTGAATGTCCTAATTATGAAACTTTAAGGAAAAAATATATCAAACCATATTATTTCAGATCACCAAATATGTACAAGCTTACTCAGTTACTCAGCTCTCACGATGTTAGGGTTTTAACTGGTTTAGGGAAATTTATTCTCCATGCCATGAAATTAAGAAATAATGAATAATATAATCCATATGTATTCATGTATTATATACTATAATAATAGTATTTTTTTTCATTTAAGAATTGAGAATTGGAAACATATTGTATATCTGTTACAAGAAACAATGAATAATATAACTCATATGTATACATGTACTATATGCTATAATAATTTTTCATGTAATAATGGAGAATTGGAAATATATAATTGTATACTAGTATCTGTTACAAGAAATAACGAATACTATAATTCATATGTATTCATGTATTATATCATGCTATAATAATTTTTCATATAATAATGGAGAAGTTGAAATATATTGTATATCTGTTGGTGTACCAGTATGGGAGTCAGGTAGATGGACACTAGGGGGTTCCACCCCCCGCAGACTCTCACCTCTCGTTCATTATGTATATTTGTTTATATAAACTGATGAGCCGTATGGCTTAAAGTTATTGAATAAAGAATTATATACATATCTTACAAAATAATGCTGTGTAATGCTTTGTAATGCCAGCATTACACTGGATTTTATGAAGTAATGCATTACATTACCATTACATGTAATGCACATTTTTGGGAATTACACATTACTAGCATTACTTTGAGTTCATGCAGGTAATGCATTGCAATGCATTACCATTACAATTAGCATTACCCCAAGCCTGGTTTACAGACAGACGGACAGCTAGACAGATGGATGCAGACAATGGGATCAAAAAAGATTACTTGAGCTTTCGACTCAGGTGAACTTAAAAATTGAAATAGTGTCATACCTTTCGCAATTTAAAACAGAATGATTTTAAATGTATATTCCCCTCGGCAGTCATCATTACAAACTTGTACTATTGAACTTGCTGCAACCCCAGTTCTCCACTGATGTCCTTAAAGCAATATAATTACATGAAGCAATGAAATGTTACCTAAATGTCCGTATCCCACGATTCCAACACGTCTCATTTTAACATGTGCCCGCTCAACTGTCAAAGTTCTCAACAAACGTGGGGAATTTCTGGCTAGGTCTACCTCTTAGGATTCTGACATTTATGTGTCTTTTTCCCGTTTTTTATTAATTACTTAAGAATAAAATTTTACATGATTCACAGTGTCATTCACTGGAATACATACAGACATATAAGAAGCTGTCAAAGTAAATTAAAGGAAATTCGAACTAAGTGGAAGATATATAAAGCATGAAACCGCTCACGGTCGAACTCACTAATGACGGTAAAATATTGGATAGGGGTTATATACCACGACCAGCGACATATATAACATGCCTTTGCCAATTATTGCAATTGTGTTTGTGCCAATAAATATTTGTATTTGTATTTGTATTTGTTGGAATTTATGTCTCTGCCACGACGAATCTTAAAAGACTTTGAAATCTGAAGAAAAAAGGTATTCAATTTTGCAGTACGGCTTGGAGGTCGATCCTCCTAATGTGATATACATGTACATATCAATTTATTTAGAATCTTTAAAAGGACTTTAAAATTATTATTTTTGAACGATGTTTAGACCTTTAAAATTTACACTGCAGGTCCATAATTTGTCATTCGATTTTTATAACTGGGGGGGGGGGGTCGAAAATATACCTATTTTAAACCCTACTCCAACAAAATCTGACAAGCAAAAAAAAAATTCATCCATAGCATCATCAAAATAGCCATCCAAATCCTAGAATTTTCCAGTGCAAGGAACAAAGATGGGACAAATTAATCAGTTCAATAACATTTTAATAACTTCTTTCTGTTTAAGTGAGCTGATCAGTTAGGAGCGAAATTCACTGATCGGTCGATAAATCCCTCCTCAGTGCTAGAAAGAAGGCTGCACTGTACACAGAATTCCCCACCAATTAACTGATGTTGACAAAACCGATATTTTTCGGATTTTTCCATACAGAGAGGAACATTTCTGTACATGATTTAGAAAAAAACCACAGCTTTTCCTGAAAGTGAATTCATAATTTTAGACTTTATAGGATCTAAGATAAGGTCGACAAGGTTAGTAATGATGCTTTAAATGACATTTCTTTTTTGTGGAGCACCGGGGGGGGGGGGGTAAAGCAGCTGTGATACCAGTAATAAAATAAAAGGCTCTATTATCTGGCATGCAGAAGTTAATTTCACAATATATTAGGGATGTCAAATCGGTCAACTTTTGATAATCGGTTACTCGGACTATTTTCCGATGGAAAATCTGGGTACTCGGTAAAATTGTAAAATATCGGTGTGAATTCTATGAAGACTAGTTGAGCCCTGATTAACTTAAGCTCATCATTGATTTCTTTTTTTCATGTTTTAGTGCCTGTAACAAATACCGAGACAAACAAAATCAATTACTTGTTCTAAATTTATTTATCCAAAATCTCTTTGACATCCCTATTTTTGAAGAATGCTTAATTCTGGTATTGAAATAATGAACAATAATCAAGGAAAAATATACAAGTACATTGAAACACTTTGGAGCAGAGCAGAAACTTTCTAAAAACATCAGAGATGGAATCAAATGCCGTGGAGAAGTAAGCATCCCCCGCGACCTGACGGACACGCCGTGTGCTCCGTGTCATGATAATGTCATATTTGTTATACATTTATTTTCTATATTATTCATACTGACTTTATTGACCATGTAATTTTGTGTTTTAACTACATGTATATATCTAAATATTATGCAGAATATCAGGCACAATAATTATTGGATTAAACACTTCTACTTTTTAAAAGGGCCCATACATGTACGGCATCTTCACTCCTATAATCTTCCACTGGTTAAAAACCAATACTGACAGAGTTAGAGCAGAAATTGGACAGAATTCTTTGTCTATTTTATAAACCAAAGTGCCAAAGTGTTACAAATAGCACTGAAGATTCATCGATCAAATTCTAAAACGTATCAATATTGTTAATTCCTAGCATTGTATGTAATGACTATTTATGTTTTCATTAACCATCAAGAAACAGACACATGTGGGAGGTATTAATGGAAATCAATCTCTTCCTCTATTTCGCCATTATATTTGTTAAGCAGGCTTTTTGACAACTATTTGTTGTTCTCGCCAAAAGGAAGTTTTGCATTTGTACTCGTAAATACGTGCCCTTTTCAATACTTAATCTGTAATAATTACGTTATCATTTCATAAAACGCAGCCACAGAATGAATTTATTCTGTATACAAGATAAAGCATTAATGCATTTCAATTTGTAATAATATTTCAATTGAACTTTTTAAAAATTTAGATCAAAGTTGCGGAAATTACTCGGAAATCACTCCGACAGAATATGACATTGATTTATTCAAAGGAATAATTTATATTTTTCAAAAAAAAAAAAAAAAATTGTCCACAATGAAATTCAATTGCTTCAGAGGACATGAACCAAAATCAGAAGTACTTGATTATAAATTTAAAGTCCGTTCTATTCGGATGCATGATATTACAATTACTTTATAGTACATATACTTCACCAAATGAAAAGAAAACAACCAAGCATTCCATCTAGGCGGAGAAAATCTGACTTGAACCTTCCTACAAAAAAGCCAAAAATTTGCTGCTAAAATTGATTTTAAAAGAAATGCAGAGAATTTAGGAAAACCTGGAGGACGAGCTCCTGAACATTTGAATTGTATCCAAAATACACAACCTGAAAATGGCCGAATGAAAAGGGTAAAGATTGAAAAGGATACAGTGATCCATATAAGAAAATCTCTGAACAATTGTAATATGTGAAGATGTCAAACAATTTTTATTCATTATCAACAGACCTTGAGTTTGATATATTCTGTTTATTATCTTCATATCTTATGATTCATTATACCCAGGAAGTTCGTAAGACAGGTGGCAATCCTTTACTGCACTGTGAAAGTGAATTCATAGTGAGCGTGTTTGTTATAACTGTGTGATACTGTAGTTAATTTGATTCCTTACTGAGGGATGCGAATTTAATCTGTAAATCACGATCTACACTTTTTGTTCAACATAATATTACAAAATTCGTTCTAGGAAATAGCATCAAACTATTGCGAAAAATCCTCCTATTCCTTTTTTTATCGACAAATTTCATTTTGTGACGTTTAAATCGCTATGATAGAAATGGATTCCTAAAGCTAAAAATCTTGAATTGACATGAGATATTTCCAAATGAAATCTGTTGGAATAGAAGAGCGCTCTGTGTTAGGGATAATTTTCATTGATTTCCTTTGTAACACATTAACACGCATTATCTCGCAGTGTAAAATATCAAACACTTTTCGAAGTTTTTCAGCAAAGTGTCAATTTTTATCGTACAAATCGGTTGAGATACGATATTAAGTGCCTGTTGGGTTTCCATTGCCTAGAATCCTAAAATAAAAATAGAACGGCTAAATAAAAATCTTATTAAGATAATTGCAATTCTAATACTCATCAGTTTTAATATTGTGCTATCGTAGAAAATATAACGATTTATAATAATTGATTCATCAATGACTGTACCATTGCCTAAGGATAGGAGTATCAAGTGTTTATTTAATTATCAACTATACCAGAATCTGTTAGAATTGTGCATGTATAATCACTTCTTGTCAATTGTAGTAAAAATAGTCCTTAATATTAATATTGAAGCAGTGGAACTGTAGCTAGTTATTTCCCCCCAGCCCCTCCCTGGATCCGCTCCTCTGTTTATCTGTCTCCCATCACTTATAAATGCTTTCAAGGTTTTTGGGGGGGGTTGTGATAATAGTTTATACATTAATTGTTTCCTCACTACTTCGAATTTACGAATTTACTATATACAAGGAATTCTTGTCTTTTAAAAAATCAAAATAATGAAATGTTGAAATTTTAACTTGGATATAAATAAATTACAGACATCTTTTTTGAATAAAAATAATGAAATGTTGAAATTTTAATTTGGATATTATTTATTTATTTGCATTCTGAATTTTTTTTTTTTTTGAGTCATTTTTTTTTATTTTCACTTATGAAGATTTTTGTTGATTTAAAAAAAATTCTTAAAGGTGTAGTTGAAGCATTCAAAAGGTTTAATATCTTCTGAATGCACCTAGATGCCACATGTACTTACATATAAATTTTGAAAATAAAAATAATTCAATGGTGGTAAGTGCATATAACACATAAACATTTGATTTTAAGAATTACTCCAATTTTCTTGCATTTAAAGAAAAAATATGTATGAAACTTTTTATAAAACATTTACAAAAAAAAAATGAAAAGGGTATTTTTGGTAATATTTCATAAAGACATCCGTGACACCGTGATCTAATAATTTATATACATGAATGTATAAAACATATGGTAATAACAAACAGTATTCAATATTTAAAAAAAACATAAAACAAGAAACATAAAACAATACAAAATAAGGGCAGAGCAAACACAGACCTCCAAAACATCAGAGGTGGGATCAAGTACCATGGAGGAATGAGCATCCCCTACGGACCGGTCACACCCACCGTGTGCTCCTTTTCATGATTGGGATATTACGGCAAAAACCCGTCGTCAATTCAGAGTGTAAATACTGGACTAACATTTAGTATGAAAAACGTCAGTCGGCATTTGACTCAATTATAAATTGTATTTGCTGACAAGGTCATTGTATCGATTATAGAACTTACGAAATGATGACTTTAAACGAAACTGCCGATATATTTGTTTCATCAAATTGTTTGTCGATAATTTACCTCGTTTTAGAAATTGTGTTACCTAGAGCATGTTCTTGCATATCGAATCAACTGAGATACATATACTCCGTATGCAGGTGATGAAGGTATATTGCTGCATAAGTAAGGAAAGTTGATGATAGCTAGGAAAGTTTATCAAAGAGCTTGGTTGTTAGATTATACCATTAACATCTTTTTCAAGTAAAATATAAAAATATGGAACAGATTTGTCATACTCTGTGGTATCTTTTAACTCAAGCTCACCAGGATATATCGTATCGACATAAAAATGGAAATTACAATTTTTAATTGACAATACGTCGTCGATATATCTAAATGTCGAGTTGAAGGCCACTGAGTAAGTGTTTTCTTCTTTTCATGCATAAGATATTGCACATGTTCTGCATCATACGAATACAAAAATAGGTCTGCTAATAATGGGGTGCAATTGGTACCGATATTGTGATAATTAAAAAGTTATAAAAAGAATTAAATTTGGTCTTAAGTCGTAGGTCCTTTTGTAAAA